AATTGAATGTTATTGTAAAAAAATTTAGTAACGTGATTACTATTAGAAATGTAGATCCTTCACCCTACCCTTAAATAATGTAAATTTAAATAGACAAACAGACAGGAGGACTAAATGAGGTAAATTTTAAACTTTTATTTTAAAAGGTGGTATGTAGAAAAAATAGTGATAAGATTTTTTATGGGTAAATTTTTACAATTTTTAAGGTATATAGTATAATATAATTGAAAGTAGCTGTGGCATAGTCACGCTTAAACTAGGAGCGTAGTATGATCATTAGGTTGTGGCATAGTCACACTTAAACTAGGAACGTAGTATGATTGTTAGACTTGTTTTAAGAATCTGAGTGTAGTGACGAACTTTCTAATAATTGTAAAAATATTATTAATTATCTTGTGCAACCTATTTCAAAGTATAGTTCATCTTATCATTTAATTAAATTTATAGTATACATATGAGCAAAAACATGATTTTTAATTAAAAATAAAATTTGAACTAATATATACAATTAAAATTTACGATTATATCAAGACACAATTAAGATTTCAGATTTATACAATTTATAATTATAAACTTATCGGGAGATTCAGAGAGCGAAACCATTTAACAAAAAGATGCTTTGGAAGTATTGAACTATAAAAAATCCGTTAAAATCTGTCGATTCTGCTAGTCAATTATATACTGTGCTTTATAAAATTTAGGTGCCATCCGGATTACCCGCGGGCGGGCGGATGGTCCGGGTTAGATTTTAGCAATCCGTAAGTCAGCCCACAGGTAACGGTAACCCGTGGGTGTAAGCAAAAAATCAAGATTATAATCATGTTTATTGTTGTCAGCGAAGATGCTTTGAAAGTATCACATTTCTATATTCAACCAGAGAAATACGTAAGTACGTAGTCTTATAATGCTTATATTAGGCCACACAAAGTTGAATTTTCGTTTTGCATTACCTGGCATTTCGAAGTTCGATCTGGCGGTCGAATTTTTTTTTAAACTAATAGACTCATGTTCTCATAAATTTTCATATAGTCAAAGTCTTTTAATTTCTAAGGTTTTCTTGAAAGCGTATTTACTTGTTCAGATAATTTCAAGTTCTTTAAACCTTCGAATCAGTTAAATCATAAGGCATTATAAAATAATGGTGAGTTAAATTTATCGGTAACTTACCAGGTACAAGAGTGACATGTAGCTGTACTAGCCTATATGCTAATCCGTTATCAATTTTAGAATTTGAAAATTAGTGTCTTAGTGATGAACTTATAAGACCTACATTCCTTCCCCAAAAAAAATTCGACAACCTTGTATTTCTCAATACTGCAATAATGGACAATTTTCGGCTACTTGGATTAATTTGGTTTGATAGAATTCACCGATAATTTGCCTCTGGCAAACATTAACTATAGATCAATCCAAGCCTAATCTAAATCAGGACAACTTTTTCAGCAAAATAGTTAGGTCCGATCGACACTTATGTACAATAATTTACTATTAAAGGCAGAATTGTTCTTGATAATTTCAAATCAAAAATCGACTAAAAATAGGAATGATAATTGGAATGAAGTCAGAGATTGTTAATATGAAATTGTAATTGCAATGTATCGGTATCGTATGATTTTGTATGTACTTAAAAAAATGAGATCCACGCTAAATTTGTGAATCCCAGGTCTAACGCTAACTTCAAAATTGCTAATTCTGCAATTAGAAATCATTGTATTTATTGTTTTTGGTCAAAATGATCAACAATATAGCTTCATTGTATCCACTGTTTTGGTCAAAATGATCTACAATATTAGATCAGAAGCCTGAATGACCATATTTCTATAAGCAATTTATTTTTTTCTAACATATATCCTATTAATATGTTTGTAGATTTTGTTAGTATCATGCACTCTGCCACTCTGCTCAGCTCAGGTCAGCTAAGCGTTTGCAAGAGCAAGAGTTTATAGACTATATAAAATGCTTTCAATTTTGTGAAACAATAGATCACTTTTTTCATTTTGGCTTGCGTAATTTAACTGTTAATGTGTTAATAAATGTCGGGGATGATACTGAAATTAGATGATACTAAAATTTCATATCGAAGGATTTGCAGTCTAATAAATAAAAGAACTGTGCAAATCCGCAGTCTTAATTTGAAATATGCTAAATCCACATAACGATAACTTATATTCTCTTAATATGAATTCTAACTCTAAATTGGAACTCAACTCTAAACAAATAAGTTCAAATTTCAGCATCATTCCGACAATAATATGTTAAATAAATCTGTAAATTACAAACTTCACTATAAATTATTAGATTCAACCAATCAAATCTCATAAATATATATTTGACCATTTTATGATAGGAGGAAATTACCATACCTCCAGAAATCTGGTAATACTGTCTACTATCCGAAATATTCTGATATTCTTTATTTTGATTAAATAAGTACAGTATTAATTTTTTAATTTAGATTTATTAAAAACTATTAAAATAAATATTAATTTTGTTTAAATCAAATGCAAAACGAAAATTTAACTTTGTGTGGCCTTAATCATCTGATCTTAAACTATATACATATTAAATCTATTATGCCGAAATCATCTATTTAATTGAATCCGCTAAAAAATCATTTAGCCCACCCGTCGGGTGATCCGAGTGGACAGGTCCAAACACTTGCTATGAGAAATAAAAAGTTTTTGCGTGATCCAATATAGTGCAAAATCACTATTCCTGATGGAATCAGCAGTACCGACCTTGATGAAGTTCAAAACATTTTTATTTGAATACTGTTTTTTACAGGGTACTTACTAAAAGCGAACCCTAATCCTAACTTTATTCATATACTTTGATATAGTAGTAGGGTAGTATTTTAGAAGTCCTCGTTTAGAACCCTATCAAGAATAGCATGTAAATCAATTTCTTTCACTGCCTCATCAGGAAGAGTACAATTCATCAGGAATGGTATTTTTGCTAATCGGTATGTAAAAGTTCGGGTAAAATTTAAAATTTTGATATGTAGTATGTATAAAAGTATAAAATCTAAAAATTTTTGAGGTAAATTTCTTTGAATCTTATGATTTTATTTTCTCCACATTATATATAATTGTCCGGGGTCCTGGCACAAAGGCACAGGCATGCCCATGGCATGCCATGAAGTCAAAGAGCATGCCCAAATTACATGATAAAAGCAACTACAATCATTGGTTAGAAATAATTTCACAATAACAACTATTTTTACAACGTGCAATTACTTTTTATTATTAATAAACAAACCAACCAACCAAAGTGATTATCAACTAGAAAATTTGAATCTGATAGAGTTCAAAACAATAATTATATTTAATTCTTTAATTAGCATTACATGTCGTGATTCACTTTAACTAAAATATAAATATTATGTTTCGGATAATGGGTTTACATGTACAGTACATTACTAATGTCTTGCGTAACTCTTCATTATCGTTTAAGGTCCGTGAACTATACGTATTTGATTACTTTTATATACTTTCAAACCGAATGTCTGTAATAGTAAATTACGTAAAATATTTTCTTGCACTATAGCTTGATTGGTTACTTATCAGTCATGTGATTGCCTATTTTATTATTAAAAATGTGATTGGCTACTTATCGGTCATGTGATTGTAGGGCAAGCCTATTTTATTAAAATGAAATCAGATTAAGAGATGAGAGATATTGTAAATACAAATTTTTGGGGGTGCCTTGATATAGTCTTGGACTAATATACTGTATATTTAAAGTTCGGGGACTTCACAACTTCACAACTTCACAACTTCACAACTTCACAACTTAATTAACGATTACTAATTAACATTTGTAAAAAATCGTTATTAATGTTTTAACGATGAAACCAATTAATAAAATCTTTATCAAATTTCACCAAATTTTTACCATTTTTATAATTTATCTTGATGAATATTTTACTTAGTACTCCAAGACCAGTTTACTTGTAAAAAATTGGTTTATATGTAGTGATTTCATTAATTCGATTTCGAAAATCATATCGGGTGTTACTTTTGTTGCCCACTATACATTATCAGGATGCATGTTTTAAAATATGTCGGGAGTTTTTTTAACGTTGCCCTTTAAAACATTTTGATATCTAATCAAAAATTTCCGCATTAGTGAAGTCCTTTCTAACCTAATATGGTCACGTCACCTATACTCATCAAACTTTTTCAAATTTTCCGGAATTTTACTATATAAGTTAGATTTTAATTACTGTACGTACGTGAATCGATCATTATTGGTCAAAGATTCATCATATTACCAAAAATTATATTTGGTCTGAAATTTGAGAAACCACTTAAACCATATAACAGCAAAACTTAACTGAAATTTTTTTTGTGAATTTTTTGACTGATAACGCTAGAGTTTTAATCAAGCCTAAATTGGCAGACTCACATTAAAAGATGAATAGAAGTTTTGTTCATTAATCCTAAAATCATTTATAAGAAATTAAATTTACGAGTGAATACAAAGAATTGCTAATTGAATTACTAGTATAGTTTCAGTTGCTAGATCTCTTATCATTTTATTTTATATTCTAGAATTTCCCATGATTCTTTATTTAAATGATAGCCTGTTGCAATCTTAGAAAATAAATTACTGGTTGTTCGGAGGACATTTAATGTTTAGTCATGTGATACAAAGTTACGAATAATGGTGATATAAAAGTTACGTTTTTGATGCATCAATAGTTATGAGTCACAATAATTTTTGGTGCATAACGATAAATAGTTACGTTTTTGATTAAATCATTAGTTTTCTTAAACTGTATCAAAAAATGTAATTTTAAAAATTCATGTCTGTCCGCACGAACATGCATATTTTCAAGAGGGTACTGTATACATCGCTTACGGTATATTGATCAGTCGATTTCAAACCTACGCTCATACTAATATCAGATATAGTGCAACATATATTTATTTATGATATTAAATAATGTCATGTAGCATTACATGTGGTGCTATTACTTTAATTTTCTACGTTTTTTCTCTCTGACAGTCATTTTATCCACTTCATCCTTCTCTCTCATTACTTTTAATTCTTTTTCAATAAATGTTTGCTTTTGCGTTAATGCATTATCAAGGATCGCCTTTTCGTCTTGAAACTCATATACTTGATGAGGCTAAAAATAACAAAGATCATAAATTAAACTGAAATGACAAATATATTAACGATTTAAACAAAACTGTAATTACATTTCCATCATCATCGAATACTAGCTTATTTCCCCTAGGCGCATTCTTGATCGCGAATTTCTTTGATTTGGCCTTCAAAAGCTTACGTTTTGACAATTTATCACGATTCTAACAGATAATGATCATAAAAAAATAAAGCCGAAATAAATAATAAGTAATGTAACTATTCCTACTATTCTACTATTCTACTATGACGGATGATTTTCAATTTTTGTTTTATATAAACAAAAATTTTAAAATTATTGATGGATCCAAAAATTGAAAAACGATTAAAATTTTCTGCCACAATAGGTAGTCATTGGCAGGCAGTTGATATTGTTATTAGTCATATTGTGGCAACAACTTATCAAAATCTTTGACAGATAATTTCTATATTCTTGATCACAATATGATAAATAACCGAATAACATTATTTCAATACTGCAATACGTTACCATTTGTTCTAGTTCCGTAGACAGTTCATGATTAACACGTTTAAGAGTAATGAACTCATCATACTCATGTGTAAGATTGTCACATTCTTGATCCACAAGTTTTTGGTAGTGATCAGTGAAAACGGACATATTTTTACGATTAAAAATTCTTTCAATTCTAGTTTTGGGTTTTGAGTTCTTTTTTTTTTCTTCATCGGAAGCATCGTCAGAATCTGATGATTGGTTATCCTCCGAATTTTCATCATCAGTCACTTCTTTAGGCTTTTCACGAATAGCATTTTTTGATTGTGATTTCTATGTAATAATATATAATTAGAGAAACTATGCAGATAATGTGATATTAAATAATAATAATAATACGTTACTTTAACGAATTTAATTTTTGGCGCACCAGGTAACCCAAGAGAAGCGGAAAATTCTTCTGCGGGTAATTCATCAATTTTAAATATAGATTTATCACTTTGAAGATAAACTGACCGCATATATGATATAAAAGCCTGATATGTAATATATGAAAATTTTTTAACAAGGAAATGGACATGTTCTTTAGAAAAAATAGTACATTGATTTAATCGACACTAACCTTCTGTGCCAGATATTTGATTTCAGGATCTTGAAAACAAAATGATTGTAATTGATTCTGTATACTCATTGTTTTGCTCCGTTTAACCTTAGTTTTTCCAATTGGCACTTTCTTTTGTTCTAAAGCTTTCTTCATCCCTTCTTCTTCACTTGGCAACAAAAATAACAGTGCAAGCCCAGAAGCTTCATACCTTGCTGTACGTCCCACACGATGAATGTATGTGTCAGCATTCCCTGGAGCATCTAATTGTATTACCCAATCAACGGCTGGAAAGTCCAGGCCCCTTGACGCTATATCCGTGGCAAACAGATATGCATATTTTAATGAAGAAAACTTATTAAATATTTCTACACGCTTAGTTTGTTTTTGTTTTCCATGCAACTGAAGTAATATGACTCCTGGTTGCATTTTGCAGAAAGTTTCAAACACGAAGCGGACCTTCAAATTTTGTTATATAATTAGCTATATATTAAAAGATATCTTAAACAAAGAAAAATTATTTCATACCTGCTTGCAACTAGACAAAAATACCAAAGCTTTCGCTTTAAGGTGAGACTTAATAAATGAAAATAGAATGTCTAGTTTTTCAGGTAGTTCACACACCAAATAATGTTGCAACAAACTTTTTGGTGTACTCTGATCAGAATCTTCATGCACGGCCACGTGTTCTGGATTCTTTTATATATACGTATTAAATATAAATTATGCTAGAATATAAATTATGCTAGAAACTTGAACTACCATTTAAATTTAAGACATGCCTGAAGGCTCAATCGAGCAAGATCTTTAACAGACTTAGTTAGTGTTGCCGAAAATAAAAGTGTTTGGCGGTGTTTGGGAATATTAGCTATTATAGCATTGACAGTTTTCTCAAAACCCATGTCAAGAATTAGATCTGCTTCATCTAAAACTATCAAACATATATATAAAAAAAAAAAAGATTGATTAATCTGATTTCCATGATTTTTTGAATTATATGACAATAATATAAATTTGATAATACCTAAAATTTGTAAATTATCACAGATAAAACCGACAGTTTGATCCATATGTTGTAATAAGCGCCCGGGTGTGCATATAAGGATGTTCATTCTATTAATACGTTCTTGTTCGATATGCAAGTCTTTCCCTCCAATTATAAGTCCAGCTGATAGAAAGTGGTGTCGTCCAATTTTTCGAAGAACCTCAAAAATTTGAACTGCCTATAAAAATAATATATTTAAGTGTATGAGAAAGGATCGACATGTTAAATGAGAATTACATCCCTAATAAATCATACCAATTCTCGTGTTGGTGCTATCACAAGGGCACCTAATCCGTCCAATTGCGACCATTGTCGTCGATGTAATGTTTCAATTAACTGTGAAAAATGAATTAATGAAGTAAAAGTTAGAATTAATAAAAAAAAGAAAAAAAAAGAAAGAAATTAAAAATCAGACATTATTCTCTTTACTGGGATCAAAAAAGCTAAAGTTTTTCCGCTGCCAGTTTTAGCAGCACCTAAAATGTCCTCTCCACGTAAGGCGAGAGGGAGCGCTTTGCATTGAATCTCGGTCATTTCAACATAATTTGCTTCTTGTAAGCCTTTCAAAGTCAAAGTGGATAGAGGTAGTTCGTTGAATGTTTCGAACTTTGAATCGATTGTCTAATAAAAAGAATATGTTATGATTCGAGGTGATTACTCATTATTCCAAAAGACAAGATAAGTTGTGCTTACCAAAGCTTTGCAATTTTCTTCCAGTTCTTCTAATTCTTTTTGAATCTGGTCACGCTTGAACTTGCGTTGATTTCCATGATTTAATTTTTTGCGATAACGGGGCATTGCTTAAAGGTGGTGTGAATCGATAACGATAAGCAAAGAGTGACGGATTGTTGATTGATTATCTACATAACACCGATAGCCAATCAAATTAGAATCCAAGAATAATTAGTAAAATTTTTGGGAATTGATATTTATACCACTATTTTTGATATTCATGCCCTCTATTTTAAATTTAAATAACAAGAATTTTAATCTAATTTTACTACCATTAGAATCAGAATAGTATTAGAAACAACTTTGCTTAAGAACTAAAGAAGTTTACTTAATAACAATATTTGTTTTAAAGCATTTTTTTATTTAATGGGTATGAATATCAAAAATAGAGGATACGTATAAATATCAATTCCAAAAATTTTATAATACGTACAATTTTTCATTGAAAATTTCTACGTACATACGTACGTACGTAAAAATATCTATCTGCTATAGCTGATAGGTAGGGTATGGTATTCGGGACCCGGACAATATAATGTTATTATACAAATCTTAAAGTTTAGTATATACTGATATAACATCCTTCGAATTATATATTTATAATATATATTGACCAAATTTTGACAATTTGGACGATTTTCGAAAATTTTCTACGTACGTACGTACGTAGATAACGGTAAATGTAAATATATAACATTTCTATTTTTATATAAAAAACTTGCTACGTAAGCTAAAAAGAATGTGAGAATGGAATTGAGTAAATAAAAGGTATTTAATTGCTGATGATATTTTTTCATTCCTATTAAAGGTACCAGATGATTATATATATAATCGTCATTCACGGAGTATATTTCAACTTTCTGTGATTATATTTAAATAATTGCTAAGTTTAACGTTAAAGATATTATTTGTTTTTATTAAGTTTAACCAGATACGTATTTGGTAATGGCTACCAGGGTTAATATGTTAAAAATTGCCATTATAAATTCAAATTTATAGTTAAAATACCTTCTTGTTTAATAAATTTTAAAATTTTTTTACTTCAAACTCATTTTCTATTAGCCAATCAGAATGAACTATGCTTATTATAAAGAGTTGTCATACCACTTTATTTATTAAATAATATGAATAATAATAGATGTAAGTTTTTTTTAGCATTAAAAATTCCATAGAAGTTTAGTTAAAAGCAGAATGAATTAACATGTTACTTCTATAAAAATATACATATTCATTGTCACAAATTGGCATACATATCAGTTCTATTAATATTATCCGGGGTTCTTGGTACCCAGTATATGAGTATCGCGGTTATACTACAGAATCCCGACACTCAAAATCCCGACGCTTAAAATCCCGACAACAAAATCCCAAAACACAAAATCCTGACATTTTCAAAATCTTAATAGAATTAAATCTCAAGCTAAAATTTTAATTCTGTTGAGTTTTTGAAAGTGTCGAGATTTTGAATGTCAGGATTTTGAATGTCGGGATTTTAATGCTGTCGGGATTTTAATTTGTCAGGATTTTGTGTTTTGGGATTTTGTTGTCGGCATTTTAAGCATCGGGATTTTGAGTGTCGGGATT